CAATATTTATGAATTTGAAGGGCTGAGTGGCCAGGATTAATCATCCTCTGCCTGAGAGCTGTGGTTTGGGCCCAGCTCATGATTCATGCCCTGACGTGAGGCTGGAGTGAAGACAGGGCCGAGCCCGGGCACAGAATGGATTTGATCAAGATCATTCCACCCAGGAAGGGCAGCAAAGGGATAATTATTCCTGAGGGATAATTACGCTGCTTCTGTCTGTAAACAGAGGCTGGAGCTGCTCAGCTGCTCTGGGTTTTTGGGAGGAATGTTGGGGAACGCTGAGGAGCTGCTGCTGGAAGGGACCCAGAGGTGAGAGAAGAGCCCAGGGGGAGATTTGCTGATCCAGGAAAATGATCGGAAAAGCAGCTGGAGCCAAGAGAACTTGAGAGAAATTCCTTTACCCTTTCATGCCCGTGGAAGAGGGTCCACCAAGGGCCTGGTGTGGAAGGAAATGGAGCGGCCTGTCAGGAATTCCTGGGATTTCACAGGTGCTTCCCCATCATTCCAGCTCCTGTGTCCCCCCAGGCAAGGTCCCAATTCCAAAGGGGAAATTGGGAAATTCCATGTTTTCTGGGGCACAAACCACTCCTAACTGCGCATGAGGACACAAAATCCACCATGGATTTTCTGGAATCACAGAATCCTTTAAATTGGAAAAGCCCTCCAAGATCACCAAGTCCGACCATCAACCAGCACCACGGTCACCTCCAACCCATGGCCCCAAGTGCCACATCCACACATTTTTTGAACATTTCCAGGGAAGGGAACCCCTCTGGACAGCCTTTCCATCCTTTCTGAGGATAATTTTTCCCTAAAATCCAATTTAAACCACCTCTGAGGCCATTTCCTCTCACCCTGATGCGATGGTGAGGCCTTGGACAAAGGCTCCAATCCTGAGGTTGGGATGATCCTGATTTTTGGACAAAAAAATCTGCTCAGGCAGGGAAATAATTCCAAGATCAGTGCTTGGAACACAGCACTGAAGCCCTAAACCACCACCTTGGTGTGCAGCCAGAGGAAAAAAGGAACATTTAAAACCCAGAACATGCAGAGCCAGCGGGAAATTAGGGAAATGAATTCCAGCGCTTTTGTAGGAGCCGTGCTGAGGAGCATCCATGGATGAGGAGAACCATGGGATGAGGAGTCCATCCACAGCCCTCTGGAGAAGAACAAAGGGACTCTGCCACACAGGGGGTGTGGAAATCCCAGAAATTCCAGAAATCCTGCTGGAGTCAATCCATGGAGGGTGGATTTATCCCAGAGAAATCAGATTCCCCAAGGGATTGTGAGCAGGACCGGAAGGGGCTCCCAAGGATGGAACCAACAAGAAAAACGGTACATTTAGCACGAAACCAGAACTATAAAGGACAGAGATTTGTAACAAAACACAGCATTTTTCTGTCCATTCTGCTCCTTCCCAAGATAAATCCCAGGGGCAGCAGATCACCAAACCCATCCATTTGCTGCAATAACCAAAGGCCTCTGCCATCAACGACCGCTCTGGACGGTGCTTAAGGTTTACAAATATCTTAATTAGCCACTAATTACCTCCCCAACCCCACATCCTCGTTATGCAATGCCTGTGATCCCAATAAACATTTGGAGCTGGAATCAAGGTCCCTTTCATGTCTCATCAAAGCAGGACCAGGATGACCAGAGGAGTCCTGTGGCACCACCGGATCAAGGCTGCAGGTCCTGGAACAGCAGCCTGGAGCTTTAATTAATTCATTATTTAATGGAGAGCTGATTAGCTTGACAGGGAAGCCCTTTTCATATCGCAGAGCCTCACACGGAGCAGCTCTCCAGGAATTTCTCTGCCTGGAATGTGGCAGAACTTCTGGAAAGGCAAATTTATCCCTGGAATTGTTGGAGCAACCTGAGATAGTGGAAGGTGGCCCTTCCAACTCAAAGATCCCTCCCAACCCAAACAGCTCCTTGATTCCATGACTCCATGATTCCATAATTCCATAATTCTGTGATTTCATAATTCCATGATTCCATAATTTTCTGATTCCGTAATTCCATGATTCCATGATTCCATGATCCCGTGACTCCATGATTCCATGAGATCTGGAGGCCTCCAGGCCACCCTGTGCTCATCCAAAATCCACGTCCTGCTCCGGGACGCTCCCATCCTGAGGTGGCAGAAGCTCAGTACATCCTCAGGCTTATCCCAAGGGCAGGAATTTTTCTGGTGTTTTTCCATCTGGCTGTGCCCACACGGGGTGGGAATGAGCCACAGGAAGGTCTCCCGTGGGAAAAGAGGGATCAGCACTTCCTCCAGACCTTCCCGTGACAATTCAGAGCGGCAAAACCAGAAAATAAAGGAAAACACCCCAAAGTAACAAATCTCTTGCCTGCTCAATGATGTCTCCAGGGAAAAGGTGGAAAGGGAATGAGGCAGAAGGGATAAATGCTGATTTTTGGGAATAAAACAGTCTCCTGAATAGAGCAAACCATCCCAATCCCAAAGCTGATTCTTCCTGCTTAAATCCAACATTTGAGGCAGAGAAAAAATCCCTTGCACAGGCTGACACCCTCCAATCCACCTCTTTTTTTTCGCTTACCACAAACCCACTTTATTGAGGTTTTCGTTGCTTTTTTTTAACATCTTGTTGCTTTTTTAGCATCTTCTGCCTCCAGGTTTCCATGGCATGATCCCACATATCCCGAAAAACCCAGGCTGGCTCTCAGTAACATTTGCCCAGGGTGGGTTTTATGGATGACAGGGTTTTTCTAGGGCAGATATTCCACGTTTGAGTCTCGATTCCCACTCTTCACTGACCTATTTTATTGAGATATGGGGGGAGCAGCGAGGGGATTACTTCAGGTCCATTTATGTAAGATACTCAGGACATAAATCCCTGATTTTTCCTGCTGAAAATGTCAAGGGAAAAAAAAAATATTCCTGCTAAACAAGGGCAATTCCAGAGGCACACGTCCTTTCCCAACCTCCTGGAGAATTCATGGATTTCCTCCTTCCTTAGGATTTGACAGCCCCACTCCAGGAGGAGCTGCACAAACATCAGGAAGAGGAAATTCCCCCCCATCCCAGACATCCAGAGGGATGTTAATAAAGCCCTGCCAGTCGTGGCATTTGGGAAATGTGTTTGTGCCTGGGCCTTCTGTTCCTAATTAGCAGAGCAGTAATGAATCTTGATGAATCAGTAATGACCTTCAAAGCACTGCAACTATTTCAGCTTCCACTCGGCTGGGTAATGAAGTCATTCCAAGAGCAGAATTCCTTTTAGGACGCTGCAAAAGGCTGAGCTCAAATTCCATGATTTTTTTTTCCCCTTTCCTGATTTTCTGGAGCGTTCCAGGACAGGAAGTTTAAGGGGTGACAGAATTCATCATTTCCTGCAGGGATTGTGATGAGCTGATAGAAATGGCCAACTAATGGCTGTCTCCAGGAAATCCCATCAGTTTTCCACAGGATTCCCAAGGAAGTCCAGGGAATTCAGTAGATATTGGATGCATGAGTGCACACCCTGCACTGGTTGTTCCACCTGGGCAGGCAGGTGACAAAGTCTGCTTGGAATGCTCATCCATCATTCCAAAGTTGCCTCTTCTCCTCTAAGAATCCTCCCACTCCTTTTCCTGATAGTAAAATCATGGAATCATGGAATGGTTTGGGATGTAAGAGACACTAAACCCCACCCAGTGCCACCCCTGCCATGGCAGGGACACCTCCCACTGTCCCAGGGTGCCCCAATGCCCAGCCTGGCCTTGGGCACTGCCAGGGATCCAGGGGCAGCCACAGCTGCTCTGGCAATTCCAGCCCAGCCAGGAATTCCCAATTCCCAATCTCCCATCCATCCCTGC